TGTATAGCCAGACAGAAGTGTAGATATTCCCTGAGACCTGTGGCTGGCATCTGAAGTGGAGGCAATCTTGTGAGAGATTTTTCCTTTAATTTGTAAGGTTTGCACTAACTCCAGGTAGCTGATGTCAGAATTGAATTACATTGTAGGAAATCCATTTGGTGTCAGAGAATTTTTGTCAGAACAATGTGTAAATTGAGACCATTTGCTGCTGATGAGTGGATATGGGGAAGACCATCTAGTGCAGAACCTCAGGGAATATGGGCATGAATACAACATTCCCGAAAATGTCATTTTAATGCCATTGGTGCTAAATTGAGCTTAAGTGCTCTAGAAATAATCTTCTGTTATCTAATAATTATGTATTTATTATAAATGTGTTGAGGCATACCTTTTATTTATAGAAAGTAATACTGGTTTTTCCATGAATAACAGTGCTATAAAGTTTCCTTGTAAGGAAATTAATTTGAGTTTAAAAGGTGAGCCAATTAAAATAAAAATATTGGCAAAAAACTGCAGAGGTGATACTCAAATGACTAAGTTTGTTCATTCAACAAATATTTATAGAGTGGCTATTATGTGCCAGGTCTGAGAATCTAGTAGTAAACAAAGACTAAAAAAAAAAAAAAAAAAAAAAAAAGGCTGCCTTCATGTGGTTTATATTCCAATGGGAGAAAAAGAGAACAACCAAGATAGATAAATAACATATATAATTATAATACAGCAGATAGAAATAAGTGCTAAAGTGATAAAGAGGCAGGAATGAGGATAAGTTTGGAGGAAGAAGGCAGAAATTTTAGATTTTAAGGCCATCAAGGCCAAGGAAGATGTTATCAAGAAGATGGCAAGTGAGCAAAGTCTTAAAGGAAGAAGGGAAGTTTGTGACTATTTGGGAGAGAAGCATTTCAGCAAGAAGCAGCAGTAAGTGCAAGGGCCCTGAGGCAGGAATGTGCATGGAAACAAGGAGGCCAGTGTGACCGGAGAGAAATGAACAAGGTTGCAGGAGACAGATGTGCAGAGCCTCTGGTCTTCAATCAGATGGAAGAGGCTGAAATTAGACAGAAGTTGACAGTTACTGGCAATCAACTGATTCCAGATGGGGAGGGGAGGAAGGTGTTCAGAACAGAAGTGGAAACTTGTGTCTCGGGTTAAAAGGGTGTGGCTTCCATTGGAACAGGTGAAAAAAAAAATGCCTGCCACAATTAGATATTGCTGAGCTGTCCCAGAGAGATCATCTTCGTGATTCAAGACCTTCTTCTGGGGCACCTGGGTGGCTCAGTTGGTTAAGTGTCTGCCTTCAGCTCAGGTCATGAACTCAGGGTCTTGGGATCAAGTCCCACATTGGGCTCCCTGATCAGTGGGGAGTCCTGCTTCTCCCTCTCCCTCTGCACCTCCCCCTCCTTGTGCTCTCTTGTTCTCTCTGTCAAATAAATAAATGTTTAAAAAGACCTATTTCTTTCTAGCACAAACTGCCCCACAGACAGGTACCCAATAGCTACCCCAGGCCTCCCACTTCCACTGATCTTATCCCAAAGAATCCCATTATTATATATATCTGATCTCTCTTGATTGTTTGGGGCCTCGTGCCCTGCAGTCTAATTAGTAAAATAGCTCTACTCATTTGCATCACTTAAGCAGTATTTACCTGGAAAGTACTGAAGGTGATATGCAAATCACAAGGACAGTCTAGAAATCTCTTAACTGAGTGTAAAGAACTATATAAGCTAATTAAACCTTATCTGGTTTGTGGTACCATGACTGCAATACTGCTTCCCTAAGTAAAATAAAACAAAATCTACACAGAGTGCTATTGCCAGAGGGCGTTCAGGGGCCTTCTTCTATAGCCTGTCTCATCTATCCCAGCCCACCTCAAATTCTTTTAGCCCAGGGGAGCTACTAAGTATTCCAAAGCCACACAGCTTCTTGATAAGCAATGCTCAAGAACTCCAGTTACCCTCCAGACTTTTTAAACTTCTTCATCCAAGTTTCAAACGCAGAAGTTTGAACTTGTATGGGGAAGAGGACTGGAGTTCTAAGGCTCAAAACCCAAATTCCTTTATCTTTTAAATTGTAGTTTTATTCTGAAAGTCATCTAAATTTTGTATTATCCTCCATAATGTTTGTGTTGTATCTTGGTTTTAAGGGACTCCCTCCACCCAATTTTGAGTAAAATTAAAGCTCCAGGAGAAAGAGCCATGTTTTTTAAATTTTGATTCCAGTAGAGTTAACTTACAGTGTTCTATTAGTTTCAAGTGTACAATAGAGTGATTCAGTAATTCTATACATTACTCAGTGCTCATTATAATAAGTGTATTCTTAATCCCTATTTCCCCCACCTCCCCTCTGATAACCATCGTTTGTTCTCTATAGTTAAGTCTGTTTCTTGATTTGTCTCTCTCTTTTTTTCCTTTGCTCATTTGTTTTTTCTTAAATTCCACATGAGTGAAATCATATGTATGGTATTTGTCTTTCTCTGACTGACTTATTTTACTTAGCATAATATCCTCTAGTTCCATCCATCTCATTGCAAATGGCAAGATTTCATTCTTTTTATGGCCAAATAATTTCTATATATACCACATCTTCCTTATCCATTTATCAATGGACACTGGACTATGTCTATGATTTGGCTATTGTTAATAATGCTGCTATAAACATCAGGGTACAGGTATCCTTTTGAATTCATGTTTCTGTATTTTTCTTTTTTTTTTTAATTTTTATTTATTTATGATAGTCACAGAGAGAGAGAGAGAGGCAGAGACAGAGGCAGAGGGAGAAGCAGGCTCCATGCACCGGGAGCCCGATGTGGGATTCGATCCCGGGTCTCCAGGATCGCGCCCTGGGCCAAAGGCAGGCGCCAAACCGCTCCGCCACCCAGGGATCCCATGTTTCTGTATTTTTCGATAAATATCCAATAGCGTGATTACTAAATCATTGGGTAGTTCTATTTTTAACTTTTGAAGGAATCTCCGTACTGTTTTCCACAGTGGCTGCTCCAGTTCCTTTTTCTCTGCTTCCCCACCAACACTTGTTGTTTCTTCCATTGTTGATTGTTAGCCATCCTGACTGGTGTGAGGTAATATCTCATTGTAGTTTTGACCTGTATTTCCCTGATGATGAGTGATGTTGAGCATCTTTTCATATGTCTGTTGGCCATCATTCTGGGAAGATCAGCACTGTGTGGTGCTGTGTATCCTCTACCAGCCCTCTTGGCAGGCGTCCTCTGAATAATCAATGACACATCAGTGACATGCAGTCTTTTATCATCACTCTTACATTTGTAGATCTTGACTGCCCATTTAATTGTAAGATCCTGTGGGCAGATGTACTGGATGTAGTGTCTACTCGGTTGGACTGAATGGTTGTTATCTCCCTCCCCCATCTCATATGTTGAAACCTTAATCCCCAAGTTAATAGTATTTGGAGCTGGTACCTTTAGGAAGTAATATTAGATGAGGTCACGAGATTGGGGCCCTCATGATGGGATTAATGCCCTTAGAATAAGAGCTGCTAGAGAGCTGGTGTGCTCTCTCTCGCTCTCTCTCTCTCCCTCCTTTTATGCTCATACACAAAAGAGAGCTCATGTGAAGACACAGTGAGGAGGTGGCTCTCTGCAAGCCAGGAAAAAAGGACTTCATTAGAACACAACCCTTCTGGAACCCTGGAATTCCAGCCCCCATAAATGTAAGAAATAAATGTCTGTTGTTTAAACTACCCAGTCTCTGGTATTTTGTTCTGGCAGCATGAGCAGATTAAGATGGTGTTCCTAGGCCACCTCTTTCTCATTCCTCTGTTGGCAGTACCCTCTTCACCCCCTTCCATATGAGGAAGATGTCCTCTTCAAAGAACTAAAGCCACCCAGATCACAGCTGATTGGTCCATACTGGATGAGTGTCCTCCTCGTTCCTCACCCTTGTCATGCCATGCCTGGGTCAGACCAATCAGAGAATTTCTCTAAGCTTCCACAATGCAGAAGTCATTCTCTCTCCAGGGGCATGAGCAGAAAGGGTAAAATCAGGCGATGTTCATGGACGTTGTCTTACCATGCAGAGAATGAGACCAACACACAAGGCAGAGTAGGTGTGAGAACCAAGCAGAGGCTGAGGTTCTGCTTTCAGTTTTCCTAAGCCCTGGCTGTAGCCCTGCCCTTCCTGTGAGTTGATATTTATGCTTGTATTCTAGGGCCAATAAATTTCCCCTTTACTTAAGCAACTTTGGCAGGGATGTCTGTCACTTGCTCTAGGAGGCATTAAATGTAATACATCTTCAGAAGGCTGAATAAAAATCAGAGGACTAATAAGTACTTGTTGATTGCTTGTTTACCACTTATTGGCTTAAGTCTTGCTGAGAGATACCATACTGGGAAAACATTGACTGCTAGAGACTCCAACCAGAAGACATAACCCCAGGCAATTCATGCTTGCAGTACTGGTGAAATTCAAGACTACAGACTAGCCTATGCCCAGAGGGTGAAAACAAATGAAGGGCCCTCTGGCTAGGAGGAGGAGAAACAGACACAGTAATGGCTTCACCCCAGGAAAATACACTCAAAATGATGACAAGAGATGAAGGAGAAGGTTAAGTTATCTGGGTAAAGGATCAGAAGATCTGGATCTTCATCCTGGATCTACCACTGGCTAGGTTTGGGACTCTGGAATAATCACAGGGCTTGTGTTTTCTTATCTATAAAACAGGAAGGTTAGATGAGACATCTTTTGGTGTTCTCTTTCCCTTTACTCACCATGGGGTGGGGTGTGCTCTTAAACCCATACCCTCGGGCAGCCCTGGTGGCTAGTGGTTTAGCACTGCCTTCAGCCCAGGGTGTGATCCTGGAGACTCGGGATGGAGTCCCACGTTGGGCTCCCTGCATGGAGCCTGCTTCTCCCTCTGCCTGTGTCTCTGCCTCTCTCTCTCTTTCTCTCTCTCTCTCTCCCTCTCCCTCTCTCTCTCTGTGTGTGTGTCTCTTATGAATAAATAAATAAAATCTTTAAAAAAAAACATACCTTCATCTGAAGGGAGTCATGGGCTCTCCTCTCTCAATCTGAGCTCATCACATTCTGCCCAAGGTGTGCCAATCCCGGCCCGTGGTAGTCACCAGTACAGATTTACAGTCTGGAAAGGAGAGATGGTCCTTGGGAGGGTCTTTCCTCAGATGGAGACATGGACATCCCCAGTCTGGAGTGACACTACAGGAATGGATTTAGGGGCCATCAAATTTACTAAGGGAGAGAATGTTTGCTTCCAAATCAAGGTGGCAGAGTGACAAGCTTGCAGGGACAGAGAACTGTGCCAGGCAGAAACAGGAGCCAGATAAAGAGCAAATGGCTCCTCCTGTTTGGCAGCTGATAATGAGGACCCAGGGAAACCAGATCTTGTGAGAAAAGAAATAAACCAAAACAAATCAGATCGTAATGTGAAATCTCACTGTTTTAAAATGTGAGCATCAAAACAACAAAAATGACAACAATAAGAAACACTGTCAGGTCAAAAACAACACAACAACAATAAAAAATGATGTCTATAGATTCAATCTGAGCCATGCCCTTGGCACAGTATGGTGTATATGTTAAATTATTACTCCAAGTCCCATAATACCTTATCATACCAACCCATTAGAGCTGCCAACATCCCAGGGAGGGTCACGAAGGACAGCTAGGATCAATTTATTAAAGTCGCCTGATTTGCATTCAGGTAAAGTCTACAGCTTTATAGCCTGACAGGTGGAGGTAGCAGTGCCAGCATGTATGGTAGTCAAACTGGTAGGGTTAACCAAGAATGAGAACCTTGAGCTTCCATAGCACCATGACACTTGTTCACAATGCAGTTCTCATGCTTCCCTGGTGCTCTCCTGGTGCTTGAGGGTCATATCTCTGGCTGGGGACTCTAGACCTCACCCCAGATCCAATCCCCTGTGCTAGGTTAGGTAGCTTCTGGAAGAGACAGCATCCAGAGCTTTAAATCTATGTGAACCACCACAATCCCCCATGGAAAAGTTGGAGTACTGTGGCCTCCTCCATCCCAAAGGACCCATATATGTCTATGTGGTGGTATATTTTAATAAAAAGGCTTGGTTTTAAAAGGTCAGATACTTTTATATTAGATAATGTTTTGTTGTGATCACTAATTTCATGAATAATGGCAGTTGTTCGGAAAGCCTATCTCTGGTGGGTTTCCACCTATTATACCAAAGCCATGGAGCAAATGTGATAGGACTTACTGAAGGCCTTAGATCTCCAAACCTGAGCCCCCTAAACTGACAAAGAGGACTGAGGCTAGAGTATCTGTCTCTATGTCAGTGTCTCTATGGACACTTTGATTCTCAGTCTCTGGTTCTTTTCTTCTTTCTCTCCTTCTACCTTAATACTCAACTTTTTTTTTTTCTGGCTCCCCAAGGTTAGGAGACCCAGATGAGCCCAAAGCCATTAGCCCATGTCTTTCTCATGCAGAGAAAGTTATAAATTCATGAGGAAACCAAAGAGAGAAAGCAGGGAAGAGGTACAAAGTGGAGAGGTGGGCATTCTAAAATGAGGTCATTCATCTATAATTCTGTTCCTTTTTTATGCTCTTTGACATTTACTTTCCATTTACCACTGTTTGTTTTGCTGATAAGGAAGCAAAATTCAGACATATTAAGTGCCCAGAAGGGAAGGATATTCCAGCCACCATTCCAGACAAGCCTCCCAGACCTGCAGACACATCTCTCAAGCTTGGTTCAGTGGAAACAGATTGGGGATTTTCACCACCTAAGTCCCCAGTGTTAGGGGCTGTCAGCTCTGATCATCTATCTTGTTGATGATCCAAGTGCTTTGTTGTTTTGTTTCATCTTGCCTACTGCCTGAATAGGCTCCATGTCAAATTATCAGTCTGGAGAATGAGGAAGTATGGGAATGGGGACTTAAAGAAAAGACTGGAAATACATTCTCCATCATGTTGGAAGGAATCTTCTAAAACCTTACCCCTGATTTCTAAAGCAGAGTCATTCTTGACCTACTTCTGCAGTGTTGTCATACTTGGGGACATTAGCCTGAGCAGTTTGTGAGCAGTATAACCACAAGTTCAAGTCCCAGCTTCACTTGAACAGAGTTCTAGACCCTTCTTCTCAACCCTGGGCTGAAGGTCATCTAAGAGATGTAGACATATATCAGATGGAGAAGTGAGGTAGGGGCCTTGTAGTTTGGGTGACTATGAGATTATCTAGACAGCTTGGAGGGTGAAAGGCAGCACTGTTCATACTTATGCAAGGACACAAGACATAAAACGGCATGGGCTGGTGTGGTTGCCCTTCTTATGAATCATGGAGACAAACAGTCCCAACCTTTTTCTGGTCATAGGTCCCTTTGAGAATGGGAGGAGATTTCTGAATTTTCAGCCTGCACAAATGTACATTGTTTTTCATAAATATTCTGGAGTTCCAAAAGCCCTCCTCATCCCATCTATCGATCTCAAGCTAGGAAACATTTTACAGCAAAGATAATAATAATGGCCTGTTAACACCCCCCCCTTCCCCAGCCTTCACTAACTAATATGAGGGAAAGAGAGGGGGGCCTCAGAGTTCTGTGTGGTCTTGAATGAACCCCATCCCCATCTTCCCCCTAAATACTCTGCCTCGACACCATCAGATCAGCACTAACCTCTCTTTGTCTTTCATTCCAGATTTCTGTAGCCATCAGGACTCCCATGCCAGTCCTTATATCCCACACCTCAATCCTCATACAGCTCAGGACGTGGTTGGGGAAAACAATTCACGTGTAGCCTGCTATCACCCCACACCACAGTAACTATTACTAAGTAGCATTTTACCTGTCTGACCTCTTTAGGTATGGGGTGTCAGGTTCTTGGTGCATGAAAGGCACTGTATAAACATATTTTGAATGAATTAATAGAAAGCTAATATTTAATAAGCACCTACTGCATACCAGGCATATAGGCACTTTTGCATATATTATTTCATTTTGTCCTTGCAACAAGCCAGTGAGAGAAGTACTTATTACTCTTATTTTACAGATGAGAAGACTGAGACTTACCAAGGTTATGGCTTTGTACCAAAGCCACAGAGCTAGCTAGTGAGCAGTGGAGGCAAGGTTCGTTCCAACAGCTATGCTCCTACGTACTGGGAATTCAGGAGGTTTAAGTCATTGCATGAAATATCCTAGGCTACATCTGTGTCACAGATGGGACATCTTGACCTGTTTTCCATCTTTGTCTGAGCTGCGCTCTCTGTTACTCTAACAGATGGGGAGACAAACCCGATCTGTTCTACACATACACATACACCATTTCTTCCCACAGGACATATCATACTGAGATTTGAAATACTGGACCTTGAAATATTTGATAGAAATAGTATCTTCATGAAACTATATGACATTACTCACTTTCCATCACACCTTCGTAAACCATATCCACCAGGTGAGAAGTCAGGTTGGAGAAATCCATTGGTCCCAATTGAACATTCGCAGCATGCTTGGAGTGTGAGCTGAGGAGCCTGGCATACGCTCAGAATGATGCATTGCACCTGCAAGGCTGCAATGGCGCATTCATTTCTCATTCGTGGGGAGAGTGGGACACCTCTGGAAAAAACAGGTCTGGAACAGATGACTGAGGATTGACCAAAAAGCAAGCAAGTTGTCAGCTTGAAAGGACAGGACCATCTTCCAAAATAGAGCTCTCACTGCTTCCCTCACTATAGCTAAGATGCTGCTGTAAGGGGAGAAGTGGAAGTGCCCCAATCACCGAACAGAGAAAATTGTGTGTGCAGAATCTGCATTAACCTTCACATTCCCATAAAGTCCAATTCTTCACATGTTAAATAGAGCCTTCACTTATCTGTATTAGTGATATTACAGAAGGTTCAAATTCAGATGATCCCCTTTCTTTCCCCTCCAAAGCCCCAGCAGGGCTAGAGATGTCCACATTAAGGCATTAAAGGTTTCTGATAAATTTGCTCATTTGGTATGCATGGACATGTCAGGAATTGGGCTGAAGGACACAGGAATGGAAAAAGAAAAAAAAAGAAAGAAGAAAGAAGGAAAGAAAGAAAGCATAGCTCTCATCTTCTGTCCTCCTGGGGCTAGACTTCACGATGGGCAATCATGCTTTCTAAGGAGCTTACATAATGTTAGGTCATCATCAGTGCTGTCTCAGCAAGAGCCATAGTGCCCCCTGAGTCACCCACAGGACCACAGAGCCCGGAAGTGGGCATTCTAAAGCGGCTTAATTACATCAAGTCTGATTGCAGTTTTCCAGTAGGATCTCCGAAGTTGTGGTGCATCCCACTGGTCCCAGAACACTTACACCAGAATCACCTTGGGTGCTGTTCCAAATGCAGATCTCTGTGTCTATGAAATCAGAAATCTCAAGGGGCTGGACCAAAAATGTGCGAAAGGAGCGTCTGATGAGTACCCTTCCCATGACCCCTGGCCTAGTGCTCATGGCTCTAGGTCCCTAAGCCTGCAATTAGGAGCAAAGGGTTTAATTTAACATGTTACTTTGTTCTTTTTACTTTGGTGATTTTCTTTGTGCTAGTTCAAAACCATCTACCGAGGAGCTAGTAGAGAATTTGTTAAGAGCTTGGGTATTATAAATCAGGAGATCCAGGTCTAAATCATCAGTTCCTTTGGGCAAATTACTCATCAACTTGCCTGTTAGATGGAAATTAATACCTCTAGGTATCCTTATGGGAAGGATTGAATGTGATCATGCCTGGGAGGTATTTGGGGTAGTGCTTAGCATGGGGCAGGATAATGACAGTGCTGGTGGTGGTGGTGGTGGTGGTGGTGGTGATAGTGAGTGACATTGAGGCTTAGAGCTGGGAGGAAGGGGTGCTGACAGATCCACGAGAAGTCTTGGGTTTAGAATCTAAGAACTTGGCAAAGTGAGGTAAGAATAGGGATGGGTGAGTCTGTGCTCTCATAGTGTTTGTCTGGGATGCAGGGAGCACCCTAGTTGCAAGGACTCTGCAAGTTACATCCCTTGGGTCAGATCCAGCCTGTCATCTGTTTGTAAATAAAGTTCTATTGGAACACAGCCAGACCCATGTGTTTACATACTCTCTAGGGCTGCTTTCAAGCTACGACGGCAGAGTTGAGTAGTTGTGACAGAGACCATATGGCCCACAGAGCCTGAAATATTTACTAACTGGTCCTTCTCAGAAAAAGTTTGCCAATCCCTATTCTAGTGGACTGCAAGAGGGGTTTTGTTTAGGAAGAGGGGGCCCAAAAGAGGAAAGCT